CCAACCCGGGCTTGGAACGGGTGGAGCTGCGCGAACGGGCTCCTAGCTGCTTCCTCGCCGCGCAAAGCAGGCGGCGGGCGTGTGCCAGCGATCCCAGCCGATTGCGGCTGCACGGGACACGGAACAGGAAGTGGGCCAAATGAGATAATGCCGGGCCAAGAAGCAGAGGAGCTGCTACACGGCCACGAACCCGAATGGGAAATAAATCCTTCATCTCCTGGCTCTGGAGGGAGGTACCACAGATAGCGCGGCGGGAGCTAATCCTCAAGCCACCGGCTCCGTCGGCACGTACCATGCGGCGATGGAGGGGTTTAAGGATCATTACTCCCGCACCCCTGGCCTGCGCGCGTTACGCAGGCCAATCGCTCAACTAATTCGGTCTTGGGCGGCCGCAAGATGTAATGTGAATGGGGGGGCGGGCTTCTCAATCGATATTCCCCCCACACCCCGCGATCGATGCTGACACTCCAGCAGGACCCCCCACCCTTCAGCACACCCATACACTGCTGTTTCGTCCACCGGAGATACTCACTGCAAGCATGTAGCTACATTGTAACATTATGGATTAGAGTCCCCACAAAATTTGCTCCCGCCTCTTGGTCAGCAAAATCAACCGAGAGGGACTTACTGGTTGGGTTGATGGGCCTTGCCCCCCGAAATGTATTTCTGGCTACAAGCCTGCCTCTCTGAGGGAGTGTTTCCATGCTCCCAGATCGCTGCTGCAGTTTCACGTGCTCCGGCAGCCCCTCACTTGGTTTATCGCTACGTCCCGGCCACCAAAGCCATGCAGCCGGAAAACATTATCGCCACCCCCTCTGATAACCGTTTACAGACCCGAAGACGTGGCTAATTGGGATGGAGCGAAAGGCGAAGCGGAGTGTTCTCAGGAGACTTAACGAGCTTGAACGTGTCGAAGCGTTCTACGGCTAATGTTCCGGCAAACTGCGGTTTTCTGACTGCTGTATCAGCAGCAGCGTAAAAGCATGTCAAAGGATCTCAGAACCCTTAACCACAGCAAGTCGGTCACATCCGTGATTTGTGAAAAATCGATTAAACGGCGTATACCATGAGATTCCAACCCCAGAAAGAGCCTGTCCTCACCGCCCGCTAATAAGAGGACTCCTATGCCGCTTTTGTACTCCTCAATATCCCCACGCCGGGGCTCAAATTAGGCCATCCGTTCCCACTAATTCCACTAACGTTCTCCCAGTCCTGTTTCCCCATGCCGTGAAAGATGCTGCACTTATGCTCCGTTAAAAGATTTGCTAAAGCCGACATCTTTAAGGCACCCTGGGATAATTCGATTCTGGGGTAATTCCAGTGGCGATTGAGTGCACCGGTTTCGTCAAGCGACCTTGGGAAGAGCCAGTGTGCCTGCAGTGATTAAGCCAGCTGGTTTGTTTGGGGGCAGCCCCCACAGCTCGGATGTTGCTTGGGTTCTGAGGGCACGGAAGCCCCCCCTAACTTAAGGGCTGGAAGCTGGCAGGTCTGCTTCACTTTTCAGTCTCCTGTCAAATTATTTTCCGGTGCCCTTGACTAGCGTCTCAGTACATGCCTTTATTTGGGGATCAAACTCTGTGGCAACCATGGAAATTCAGGTTTAATCTGCACCAGATCACCCCCCCCCCCCCCCCCCCCCCCCCCCCCAAAAAATTTTGAAAAGGAGGCCCCCCCCCCGGGGGGGGGGGGGGGGGATGTCACATGTCAATATCTCCCCGTGAGCCTGACTGAATAATCAGATAGAAGATGGATGGATGGATAGGTGGAGGGAAATATCTGTTTGGAAATTGCATGAAATGGGTACATCTCCCATAAATGAATCTATGTGTGGACTAGTTCACTCTCAGTCGCTTGGGTTAGCGAACTGTGGACTGTGCGATTTTCACCCACCGCGAGGCACTTAATGAAACAGCAGGGGCCTCATGAATTTCCGAGAAAAACATTATATCACTGTGAGGAGGGTTGGGTCCTGGAATGAGAGGAATGGTCTCCTTAGGAGGGTGTGGGAGGTTGGAGGAGGCCTGCTTGACCCTCAGATGCATATAACATAACAGGAAAGAAATGGGAGGTCCGGTAAGCACTCACCAGATCTCCATGCTCCCCTCTGGGAAAGGCGTCCCATCTCTGAGCAGGATCACCAGCAAAGTGTAACGCCACCTCACGGGGGGGCTCAGTACGGGACCCCAGACTACGCATTTGAGCCCAGTCAGAACCAGCCAATAAAACGACTCATTTACACATCCAGCATATGTATGTTATTACAGTAAACTTTAGGGGCGTATCTTGGAGTGATTGCGCACCCCTTCGGAGTGCTGGCCGTCCTTGGTGCTGCGGGTCACTCGGCTGGGATTGGGGGCTTGTGACTTTGGCTGTTTGCACTCACTTTCCCAGGGAAGATTCTGACTCTGTGCCAAACACTAATACAGCGGCCATTATTGTTTTAACTCTGTACTGAGCACAAGGCCTCGAATCCCGGCTAACGACGTAGCCAAACACGGCAATATGATGACCATAAATATCACCGTGGCCCAGTACCGGATAAGTGGTTACGGAAGACGGATGGAGTGATATATAAATACGCCGATGTGACGTGGGCATGTGTTTTACGACATTCCTGGGCCCCAGACGGGCTTGACGAGTGTGCTACTGAAAATAGTGGCTAATTGTATTATAAATCTGACAGGAACTGTCACGACAGTAGGAAGAGCCGTGTAATTCATGGGACGGAAGACAGGGTGGTCCCACTTAAAAAAGGGGACCCAAAAAACAAACCTGCACCGTCATACCAGCCACTCCAAGAAGAATATTGTACCGGGAGATACCCCAAGCGCTTATGGGATACCTGTGCATTGCAGGAGCGGTATTTTGAAACAAGCAATGGTGCCTAAAGGTTTCACTCAGTTCAGGCCGTGTACCTGATGTCGCACAGTGTCACAGGGATGCTTGGCTTGATAAAGACTGAATAAAGATTCACTGAAGGAGAGACACTTAGGATTTGTCTGTCGGAGGTAATTCTTTAGGTAGATCTTCATATTAGCTGCTCTACAAATTGAAATCTATGCATTGGTTTTTTTTTTTTTTTTTATAAAGAATTGCTTTTAATAATTTTCCTTTTACAGACACTTCTATCGAAGGCAACGTGTTGTGAGAAATCAGGGTCAGTCAGTCCCTGGAGCAATTAGGGGTTAAGGGCCTTGCTCAAGGGCCTAATGGTGATGTCACTCTGCTGACCCTGAGATGTGCACCTACAACCTTCTGAACACAGTCACAATGTCCCAACCGGCTGAATCACCCCCCCCCTGAAATAGCATTTCCTGTTTGATCTAAGTGGGAAACTGCAGAAATAGCTGGTTGGCAAACTAGAAGATAAACAGGCTGTGTGTCTCAGGTTCGAGCCACAGAGCCTGTAAAGGAGGATGGTGTGCATGACTCAGTGCACGATTATGCAACGTTTAAATAAATACATGGGTGTATTGTAATATGTCCGAAAAACTTTATATGGGCCAAATAACGCTTGTGAAATGATCAGACAAAACTGGGGCTGAAGAACGCAGCCCAGGGAGAAGCGATGAGATGAATGGCAGGCGTGGGTGGCTTCCTGCTCCTCACCACCGGCAGCGGCCCCACAGCCACAGAAAGCGCCTCGTTATGGGTCCCCCCCGAAACCCAGGTAGGCAGCTTGCAGCTTAGGTTTCAGAGACAGCACGCCTTCAACTGTATGACCCCCCCCCCCCCACCGCCACTTCCTGATGAACAGGATCTTTCTCACCTGAGCTTGCTAGCGTGTAACAGGAAATGGAGGTCCCGTTTGGCTGCAGGCATGACTCATTCTCTGAGGACGGCACAGGCTGTAACTTTCTGTCCCCTTTCTTGGGGGTTGGGGGCTCCCAGCTCCCCACAGTGTCCCCAGTCCCCAGTTTGTTAAAAGGTCCAGCTCCTGCCCCAGCAACCTGGGCTTGTCCTACATTTTAACATATTCCTCCGATGTCATTTATCTCAGGTTGTGATCGTCATGTGGAGCCATCTGGTGAAACTGGGGCCGGGGGGGGGGGTGATGTTCATGTCACCAGCTCTTCTCAGGCTGGAGTACAATGCTCTGTGTTGGGCTGTCTGTGTGACATGGGGATGTGTAGGTAGGTTATAACTCTAAATAGTGAGAAGGTAATAAAGATCGGACCTGGGGACTAACATCACAAAAATAACTGCACTGAGTACTTTAGACACTTAAGTACCAGTAGTACATATATTTTTAGGTGTGAAGGATCAGTTTTTATGATTCTCACCTTCACTGACCGGCACATCTCTGCATATTAAATAATGCTCAACCCCAACCCATCCTACACCTTTGCGTTCAGCCCCTGTGAATTGTGATTCCTCCCCCAACAGATACTGCACACTGTGCCTAAAGAAGTCACATCTGACAAGGTGATAGTGAATCTTCTACAGCATTAAGATTCCACTGAAAAATCTGGTCTGACTGCAGCATTCTATTAAGTCATTTATTTATATAGCACATTTTAAAACAACAGAAGCTGACCCAAAGTGCTTTCCAGTTTAGAAAGACTTAACTGACAAATACTTTATATATAGTAAAATACAGAAATAAAATAAGTAACGATGAAATATAGAATATAAAAATAAAAGAATATGAATACGTGCATATACGAAATAAGAAAATTATTATATCTAATACAGAAAGATTCAAACAGATTAACGCTTCCTTTCTCATATTTTACAAAATCAAACTCTCATCACTGCTACTCCTTCCACACCCCCTTTTTAAAAACGAGGCAATGATGCTAACGTAGAGCATGTTTTATGAGCATGGAAAAAGCAGATTTTAAGCGGGGACTCCGGGGAGGCTGACCCATCGGACCGGACCGGAAACCCAAACGCCCAGAATCCTGCGCGGCACGGCCAGCATGGCGAATCAGGCTCCGGTGACAGCAGAAGGTGACATGGATCTGGACAGATGTCACACCGGCTTTATGGAGGCGGCTGGCTGCGGACGAGACGGAGGGTTCGGGGTTAGCAGCTGCTGGCTGTGGCAACAAGGCGAGCTCCACCAGCGCTAATGGTCTGAGCGGCAGTTTAAACCATGACCCAGTTACAGGTAAAAAATATGCGGCTCCGTTTTGAAAAGCAGAGAGAGGCGGCATAGCAATCGTACTCTCAAAAAAAAAAAACCTTGAACAATGTGTGAAACAGCTAGGGTAAGAATATTTTAAAACTCAGCCCAGCCACAAGAAAGAGCACAGAGCACTTAAAAAAGAAAACTTGCGAACAAACCATTAAATAAACAGCACTTTTACGGTTTATTTTTAAACTAATATATATTCAAATTCCAGCTTAACGGTAAAAAAAGAGGTTGCATCACTCTCCCTGTTTTTTTTTTCTTTTTTTACTAAAGAAACCTGGTTCCTACGTATATTAATAAGGTACATATGCCCGTAAAAACGTGCAATTATACTTTTTTTTATCTCTTTTCTGACACCAAAGCGAGAGGAGGGCGTGTTTGCAATCAGACCACCGGCTTTGAACTCATAAACCGTCACTGTTGGGGGGTTAGGGTGTCATTAAAATCATAATGGTATTACTTTGTCACAGAATAAGAAAACGGGTACCAGGAAAAGCACCAAAATATATCGACCTGCGACTTGATTGCCAGGGAGGGGGTGAGTAACGTGATACGACATAATGTGGCGTTCAGCAATGGGGGGGAGCGGCGATGGAACCGCCGATCTGGCCCCATAAATTACAATTATTTTCACTGGAAGGTCTGAGAGAGCCACTTAGCATCTATCAGTCTGTCCATATGGCTCGGAGATTAACTCTCCCCGGCGCTCCTCGAAATTTCATTAAAGGCAGAAGGGAAAACACGGTGATCTGGTTAAGAAGCCAGGGCAGCTGTGGCGGAGGAATAAATCACAGGGCTCCTAAGCCAACCGAGCCCCGGACCGGCACTTCGATCCGATCCATTTTCCTGACGCCGGTTCCGCCCGGGGTTGCCGTCCTCCCTCTCCAGCTCGATTTTCTTTCAGTTGTAAACCGGCTGCCAGTTGTTCCTCCTTCTGTATGTTATTGCGTCAAGCATCACGGCGACACGTGTGATGTTTTTCCCCCTTCGTTTAATGCATTTCATACAGCTTCATGTCGGAGCGCACCCAGAAATACGTGCGATTACCCTGGAATATCTGCGTCTATACATGTCAGCATTTAAAACAACACTTTTGCTTCTTTTAATGCATTTCAAAGCAAAGTTTCACTCCCCCCATCCGAACGCACAGGCTGACACTGTAATGTGTAATTAGTCGTGAAAACTGCGGCTCGGCAGGTGGTCCGAGACGAAAGCGCTGCAGCCGATAATGAATCCCCTTCAGCAGGACGGGGAGTCCCCGGAACGATCGGGAGAAGCGGCCCTGCACCTTACAGCACGCTTTCAGTCTTAATTGAACTCGAGAAAGGTTTAATTGACACTCCAAGTCTGGCAGACTATTTTCATCTGAAAAGGACCATTTTTCACTATAAGACCACATTAGACAGCCACATTAAACCATGTAATATTGTTATTTTTCCATATAATTATATTATGGTTATTGCATCATTCACATTTCGTACTGCTATAATATTAAAACAACAATATAACAAAATCAATAAAGCAGGACATAAAAATTTGTGCTGGCATTGAGCTAATATAAGAAAACAATAGGCCTAGCAGTCCACATAGAGGCCTATAAAATCCTGATTCGGTGTGCCAAAAGCTCGCCGCCGGTACTGATTGGGCGCCTTTCTCGACCCGAAGGTAATGACGGATGGCGCGTTTATAAGCCAGTTCCTGTGCTACAGGTGTTCACTAAGAACCAGCAGATGTTGTATTATGTTTTTAGTACTTTACCCAGTGGCAGTTTACGGAATTATAATTGGAACAGTCTAAGGCTGAAAATCATGCCAAAAAGCAGCTGTTTCGGCTGGAGAGAGGGTGCAGAAACACGTGGCTGGCAGTGTTTCACATCCGCGGGAACTTTAACCTGCATCGGGCCCTGCACTGAAAGCCTGCACTTTATTTCCCCCCGTATATCATATCTAACAGGACCAGACCTCCTAGACTTGATTTGAAAACTTCCCAAAGTTGCCCGACGTGGCCAGACGGTGTGACCAGGATGGAAGGAGACGCTCAGGAAAATAATCTAATGTCAGCCGCACTGCTTTAATGAAAACATCAAAATGAGAAACCCACTTTTGTCCTGTTCGCAGCGATTTTACAAATATTTCCTGGAGAAATGAAAGTAAAAAATAAATTAAATTCCGGAGGGAAGATGCAGCACACGCTTGGGGGTGACCAGCTCTCCTCTTTAATGCTGCTTCCTGGCGTCGTTAATGAGATTCCTTATGAAATGCAGTTTTTCAGGACCTGAAATTCCAGGACATACTTCTGTCTGTCAGGAATTTCACATGGATGCATTAGGTTCACATTATTGAAATATTTAAGCGTAAACATGCAAAATAGGACACTTTTCTGTTTTTAGGGAAATAACACAATATACTAAAAATAGGCACCCCAGCATTCCAAGGAACAGAAATCAGTGGAGAGCTTTGAGCAGTACTGGGATGCTGTGCAGCATTTGGACTGCACTTCACAGATACTATTCTTAAATGATATGATTATCGTTTTTAAAAGCACCGCCTTTGTTAAGGTCACTTAAGCCTTGTTTACTTTAAATCCCAGGAAGTTATCTGTACAGCGGAGAGACTCAGCGGCGTTGCCGTGACGTTTTGGATAGAACAAACCATCATCGCAAACAAAAAATGAGGCAGGAAGCTTAACAGGATTCCGTAAGTCAGTGGTAATCAGTGAGGTGTATGGCAGATAACAGTGGGATGAAAGAGCAGCAGAAATAAAACAATACCGACTCTGAGGGAAAGCCCACGAGGTGCCGGGAGGCGTGCAGAAAGCTCCGGAAGGATTACGCAAAATGTCATACTAGGGAGCGAAAGAAAATAGTGCAAATAAATAAAATGAAAAGCGAGATGGTGGGAGCATGAGAACAGCTGCTGGTGTTTCTGTTTCTTTCTGTTGGGGGCGCGCCTGGGCGAAGGGGGGGGGGGAGAGAATGCGCTCTGGTAATTACGCAGTGTGCAGCAAAATAACAGCCATTACGCACCCCCCCTCGCCACCAACCAATGTACTCTAGCCGGCATGGCCCTGCTGTTTTCACATGGATGAGAGGAAAACTAAATGGTAATACTCTGAGGAAACACAGTGAAATTTCATCTAAACGTAACGAAAAAAATATAATAAATTGGCGGGAAAAAAATGCGGATGTTAAAATGTGGTGCAAGTGCTTCTCCTGTTAAACATGAGGGGCATTGGTCCTTGCAAACTGCAGGCCCTCCCCCAAACACACACACACACACACACACACACATTCCCCACAGCCGTGGAGGAGGAAATGCCCGTTAGACAACAGGTGCTATTACCTGTCGCAATTCTCTACACACGCAGGGCCTGCGGCGGCCATTGATTACTCAGAGTAATTAGGTGACAGCTGTCCGGACGTGCTACTGCCGCTCAAAGGAGAACGGGAGCTGAATCTCCCCCTGAATGAAGCGATGAAAACGTCACATGAACAGGAAAGGAGAGAGAGAGAAGCAGAATGGAGCAAAAGATTTCCAATGGAAAAGAAGAAACATGACAGATTGATTCCCGACTTCTGCTTGGATGCAGAACACAGAAGACCCAATTACCGTGTATCTGCTTGCATTTTCTGGCCGCTTAGATGCATCCAGTTGCCAACAAGAACCTGCAGGGACTTGAGGCAAGCACCTCCATGGGGGCCACTGGGACAGAAGGAGCCAGACGCCTTTTTTGGATAACTGCAAACACATTGTCCCGTTTTTCGGAATTCCGGAATGGTGACGTGCCAGATTCCTCCTCATTCAACAGGGGAAGTGTCCCTAACTTCTGAAAAGACACTTTGTAGATTAGCCGGACGCCCTGTCAACAAGAAAACAACACGTGGAAACGCTGCCAAACAAAGGAAAATCACAGGAAATGTGGACGTTTCACTGAAACGGTGCCATTTCAATAATTACCAGTGACATAACATTTATACAGCTCTTTCATTTAAGGCTTTTAAAGCTTAAAATTAGTGTGACTCTGCTGAGCCAGCTAAACCGAGATCCACTTGACCCCCCGCCCCCAAATCCATAATATTTCTGGCTCTTTAAGACCAAAAATAAAGTCTGCTGTTGCTAACCAATCACATGTTTCATCCCAGGCTCCTGATTGGTTTATCTCCATTTACTGATCACGTCACAGTTTAAACTTATCAACCTGTATGTATTTGGTTACAGAGGAGACAATGAGAAGGGTGTTGGGGTAGATTCTGAAGATTCATTACAGTGTTATGTACTCTTAAATTGTCTTCTGGACTCAACAGAACCCGTAGTGAGGTTTCACAAAAAGGTGCAGCAATCCGATTTGTTGTATGGTGCAGCAGTCTGATTTGTTGTAAGGGTCACATGTTTTACACCGAGATCCAGTCAACAGATGTGTTTCATGCTGTGCAGCCCAGCCGTGATGGTAAAAAGGAGAATTGTCCTGTGATTGTGTGTGATGCACCCGCTTGTCGGTCTCTAACAGGAGCAGCATTGGGTACCACAGACACCAAAAACACGTGTGTCATTTTGTGTGTCTCTTAGAGAAAAATGTAACACCTCCCTTAATCTCCACCACAGAAAACCAGAAAAATAACCAATGAAGGCCTTTAATACTTTAATATCCTAATATGCTTACTTGACATTTCACTTCAATTCACATTGCATTGGCTCCATTGTGACAGGGGAACACAATCGAATTGTTAGCTCTGATGCTAATCTGAATTTTTTTTCCATGATGTTTCCCTGTTAAAGGGCACTGGCAGAACTGGACTGGTGCAATCCGTGTGTGTATGACAGACAGCTACCAGTTACATCCAGACTGCAGAAGCGTTTTTAACCTTTGTATAACTGTCACAGATTTGAAATATGTCAAACGTCATTGTAATATCAAAGAGACGTCTTCAGCAGGCTGAGAATAACCGTCCTGCACCTCAGGCAATCTGGGGTAGTAGTATCCGTTCTGAGTGTAAAAATAAGTAGACACTCTAAACTCAGAACAAACATTCAGCAGTATTTTTTTGGGGGGGGAGGTATTTTAGTGCCTATACTTATTCAAAGGGTTCTAAAAAAGCATTAGATTGACAATAATAAATTCCAGTGTTCATCTGTTTAGCTGACCTTTCTCTGCGCTGGGTCAAGAAACACTGCAATTTATTTTGCTCATTTGAAAGCAGTGCTGAGATGTCTATATTTAAACACCCAGAGGTCTGTCTCTATCTCAGGACTTCATTCTGCTGTTTATGTATTTAAATTTAATAATCTGCCCACTGCGTGTGGGAGTCTCGCATTTTCTGATGGCTTCTGGTTTGGTTTCAGTGGGAAAGCATACGAGGACACAATGAAAATGCACTAAGTGTGAAAAACCAATAAGGAGGAGAAACCAAAGAGAAATTGGACTCCGTGGGATGGGAGCCTGAGGAGGGGGGTCCCTTGAGCCCTGGACATACGTATCTGCATTTCTGCACACATCACATACAGCCTGTAACAAACACTGGATTAAAAAAAACAACAACAACAATATCTGAATGAAAGCGTCACCCACTCAGCTGAAAATCAGTTTATCAAAGCGATACGATTTGAGGTTCTGTTATCATAACCAGACAGAGGAATGTGCGTTCGACATACTACTGTCCCAAAAGTCTTCACTATTTAGTCAAAGATTAAATTTTACGTCATGTCACGCGCTATTACATTCTCCGCGCTGTCGTAAAACATGCGTTTACAGAGCTCTGTGGACACTGGGGCTTCAATGAAGCAGTCACCATCAAATGCTGTAAGATTTTCACGAGTCAACGGGCTCCTCTCGGATTTAACAAGCTTTTAATCTGCGCTTTAGGAGCCGCCAAAGACAGAAAAAAAACATAACACTCCCCCCGGCCCGCCCTTCTCCTAATTGTCAGAGCACCCAGACCTTGTTGACAGAGGAATGTGCATTTTAGTGCGATATTGCTGTGGGTCCATCTAACTTTTGAATTTTCCACTCGACCACACATCTTAAATTGCGTTCCTGCCCGACGGCTCGGCGGTGAAATCACCAGAATAAACGCAGCGGGCCCATTTGGATCGGGCGGCGCAGCGGACGCCCGAAATGAGCGGGGCCATCTCCCTGACAGCATCTCATACATGAGAAGCAAGCTGTTCTTAAAAGCGCAGTATCTGACTGCGAGTGCTGATGATATAAATTCCAGACTCGATCATTTATGATTCCATATTCCCGAAATTGCCTTTTGTTTATGCCGGGCAAGACGCTTGATTTCTGGCATGGAAAAAAAGTGGGTGACGGTAATGTCCTACAGCCCAAAAAAAAAGCAATTCAGGAAGCGATTTCACCCCAGGTCCTCATGGAATGTTCTGGCCCAGGGTGCTACACGGGTCTCTGTCTCCTTAGTGAATCGATGCTCTGGTTTATGGACTCCCCTGCTCACGAGGACTCACCCCAACATGGCAGAGAGGCCAATACAGCCTGAGCGTGTCTGCCCAGGAAGTGTGCGAGACAGAGGAGAGGGGCCATCTGTGGGGGTGCACAGCTAGCCCACCCCCCCCCATCACGTCAATGCCGAGGCTCCTACTGATTCTCGAGCTGAAAGCACACCCCCTAGCAGGAAGACCCCCCCCCCCTTCCTGCCTACCCCCCACACGCCATGGCTACCTGCTGCCAGGATCTTGCTCTGACTCTCCCCCCGCAATTATTAGGCCACCAGTCGCGGCCGCGCCCACTGTCAGTCACCGGAACAAAGAGCCAGGCGCCTGCCGAGGGGGGGGGGTTGGTGATTACAGCCTCATTTAAGCGTTGTTTCCAATACAGTGGGTATTAGTATGCAGCACAAAAGCACTTCATTAATGTAATACGCCGCGCGGGATGAAAGATCCGCTCTCGTCCCGCTCATTACCGAGATGGCGCCGTGAATATTCATGCCCACAGACTATGCCCATCCCGCCATTCAGACCCCTTTCTCTAATTTCACAGCTCCTCCAAAAAAAATAAAAACTCTTCATCATCTGAGCTCTGAACAGGAGAGGTGCACTCCGTCTGCCACGGATGACGTGTGAGGGAGTGTCAGCGCACTCACCGGTGTCCGGCCCGGAGGGCCAGCAGACACCTCCGAAGTCTGAACCCTCTCATCTGGGGTGGGTGTCCGCTGTCACATGCTCCCCACCTGCCCAGGGGTCAAAGGTCGAGCCTCACAGCACGCGCACCCGACCGCAGCCATATGTGGCCCAGTGGTGAGACGGGAGTGTCAACACCTTGGATCACACCCCTGTTGACGCAGATTAAACGTGATGCCCAGGTGTGGTGGGGATGGAGGCTGAACTCGACACATCCCACAGCGTAACTCAACCACAAAGACCAGTGTTAACACATCAGCGCACAGCAATCTGGGGGCATCATCCCATAATTTCTGGTATCTGTGGCATTTTTAGCCACGCATTCAAATGTCACTTGGTGCTGGACCGTACGGGTGGCACAGCACCTACTACTGGTCCTTCCTTTTATTGCCGCTTTTAAATCAGGCACTTTGTATTGCTCTCACATTCCCCCCAGGTCTTGTCTCAGTTCGCATTGTTGCTTTAGAAAAGGATGCATTTATTTTCCCAACCGTTCGTTTTCATTCGCTGACTCACGAGACAACAGCCGCATTTCCTGGGTGACTCATTGCATTACCTGCACATGC